TATTTCGAATATCTATTAGATTCCGCGCACCAATAGTCCGACCCCGAACTAGGACTCGAAACGAAATCAGAAGACAGGACTCAGAGGCGGAATGGAATTGTAATAAGCGGAAATTCGGAATATACAAGGATGTCGTGTTCAATAAAACAAAAGAGTTCATAGTTCATGAGCAACCACCACATCCGCCGCAGCTTGAACGAAGCTCCGGTCTTCTGTAATCACGTTGGGCTTTGTTGAGTAATCTTTCAGATACTCTGGGTTCTTCTGTACTGTTTTCGACATTTGTACTGGGATGTAATTCCTCTGGAAAAGACCCAGAAGTAAAAGGATTAGTAAGTTGACAATTAGTATCAGTATTGGGCAAAATGCAAATTACTTGGTATACATGTCTGCGATGTACAGTGCCATCGTCTAGATCTAATATGCGGCATACTCTGTGTCCCATATTGTCTAGTACAATACCTCGGGAGGGNGTACCACGATGATACACGACTTCCACAGACTTCAAGTGTAGAAGATTTATTCGTAGTACTCGACTCTTAAACAGCTTTGTTAGACTGTGTCCCGTGGTCGAATGTACTGCGTTACGGTATTGCATCAGAAAGTTATCAACGCCTCTATTAAGTTCGTCCAATGTACTGGGATTCAAAGAAGCAATGGCACTCTTCAGCGTGCGTACAAAGTTTTCGGCTGCGCCATTGGATTGCGGATGTCTGGGGTGGAATGTGAACATACCGACAACTCACGGAGTTCAACCAATCAGCAACTTTCTTGGCAGTGAAATGACTTCAATTGTCAGTCAAGATAGCATGCGGGACACCTTCTCTACTGAGCGTTTTCCTGAGTGCTCGAATAGTGAATTCTGAACTGGGAGTTGTGGTAAAGTAAACTTCTGGCCAAAGAGAGTAGAAATCGACGATCACCAATGCGTCATACTTGTTGAAGAATGGATCACAGTAATCCACGTGTATTCTCTGCCATGAATCGGAAGATACTGGCCACCGAGTCCATTTCGAAGGCTGTCTATGAGTTTTGTGCACACAATCAGTAAAGAATTTCGCAACACGATTCAGATCATGATTCAATTCAGGCCACGAGCAAGAGATTTCATCCTTTCAATGCCGAGATGACCGGAATTTAAGTCATTGGGGATGGCAGTACGTAATGTCAGAGGTACGATAATGCGATCATTGTAGCACAAGACACCATCTCACGTCACAGAAATTTTCTCATGAAGTTTCTAGAATTCCGGAAATCGACACTTGATATCACCTCGCCAACCTCGACGGACACAGGAAATGATAGCGTGGTAATATTTCCTGGTTTCGCGAACTAAATCAGATCGGCTTACCAAGAGCGGTTGAGCGAGTCGACAATCACCCGTAGAAGCCTCCTCTGAAATGGCGTAGCGTGATAGATAGTATGTATGTGGAATGGACTGCGCGCTGCGATGATGGATGTCGTAGGAATTGGCAAACAACGCAATACTTCATCATTGTACCATGGCTTCAGATGACTTAGCCAGGGAACGTTGAGGGTTGTAAATGAACTGCAGGGCTTTATGATCACTCACAGTAGTGAAATGAGTACCATAAAGATATCTGTGCTTACGCGTGACAGCCCAATAAACGGCCAGAGCTTCTCGTTGAGTTTGGGAATGCTCACGTTCGGCAGCCGTAAGTCTGCTTGAGATGCACAGTACCGGATGACCATTCTGCTCCAACACAGCTCTAATTCCAACGGGAGATGCGTCCGTGATGACGGTAGAATGTAATCGTGGGGAAAAAGGACGTAAAACAGCAGTGGTAGATAAAATGGAAGGTAAATTCCTCAAGGCACGTTCATGGACCGAAGTCCACCGAAATGTTTGCTGTGACTGTAAATCGAACAATGGAGCAGCTTGGGTTGAAAAGTTAGGAATAAACTTGGAATGGTATTGTAAAGAACCAATTAAAGAACAAAGCTCATGGAATGACTTGGGAGATGTCAACGGGAGATTAGTCAACGAAGAAAATCTATTAGGGTCAAGACGAAATCCGCACTCATCAACCAAATAACCTAAACAAGAAAGTTTAGTCCTAGCAAAGGCAAATTTATCAGGGTTAATTGAAACATTATGCGAACGAAATCTTTCAAGCAAAGCACACAAACGTTCGTCATGTAAGTGTCTGCTAGGCGCATGAACAATAATATCGTCCTGATAGACACATACACCTTGTAAGCCAAAAATGATAAAAATTAATAGTAGTTTGAAAAATAGCGGGCAAACACTGAGTCCAAACGGTATAAAGTTGTAGCGAAATAAACCAAAAGGTGTGTTAATAGTCGTGAGTTCACGGGACTTTTCATCAAGAGGAAATTGAAGAAATGCATCTTTCTAGCCTAGACAAGAGAAAATGTTGGATCCATGAAGTGCAGAATATCTTCTGGTTCGACGGTGGCACAACTGGACTGTTTCAGGTGTCTGTTCACAGTAACTCGATCATCCCCACATATCCTAGGAGTCTTCCCGTCACGTTTTAGTGGAGTAACAATTTGCGTGGCCCCAGCCGAAGAATTTACGAGTGTCAGAGCTCTCTTGCTTAACATTTCATCTAACGCCTGTTTTACGGGATTATGAAGTCCAAGTGCGACAATCCGACGTTCATAAACACCGGAGAACCGATCACTTCGAGACTCACAGGGGTCATTTTGATACCACCCCTTGCCTTGGAACATTAAAGTGATGAAGGCGTGATTGATGGGAGTCAGAGATGAATGAAAATGACAAATGCATAAGATTCATACAATTCAAACCAATTATGGAAATATCGGAATCAATGACCAAAAACTGGCAGTGAAATGTTTGGTTTATCGTCTTTAAGAAGCAGCTCGCATGATACTAAGACGGGCAAAGAATGACCGGTAATTCCTTTAACTGAAATGCCTGTTGGAGAAAGTTCAACTGGGGGGGGGGGGGNAAATGACGAAACACCTTGTTGGAAATGAAAGAATCAACACTGCCGGTGTTAATAATGAATGTATGGTGAATGGAGTCATTAATGATGAAGTCGCGAGTAATATGGTGAGAGGGACGTGAACTGGTACTAGCTAAAGTTAAGTACTGTAAATCACACAGTAAATCTTTAGAGGAATGGACAGTCTTACGTTTGGTAAGACATGACTTCGCACTTTTGCAGACAGACTGGATATAGCCAAGCTTACCACAATTGTGACACTTGGTATTTTGAAATCTACAGGATTGTGGGCCGGAGAACTGATGTTGCTTGGTGTTTTCGAGCCCTTTTCGAAAAGCCGCTTTCGCCGGGATGGTGACTGTTTGGAATTGCTGGCATTTAACAACAAGTTGGGTTCATCGCAGATAATGGCTCCGACGTCTTGGTACTGTTCACAGACTTTCTTAGCCGACTGAAATGTGCAATCGTGCATGAGCAGGAGCTTTTGCTGTAATTCCGGGCAATTAATGCCGGCAATTATTCGATCACGTAACTGGGTTTGCAAATGATCTCCGAAGTTGCAACGAGATGCTTGAGTCTGAAGTTGAACAATAAAGTTATATACAGGTTGGCTTCCACCACGTGTGAGTGACTGGAATTTGGCTCGTTCAGCAGCTTCGAAATTAGCCGGCTGTAGATGCTTCAGCAGTAAGGTTTTCAGGGATTCAAACGACAACGATATAGGAGAGTCAGGAAATGCTAAATTCTTCAACAATCAGTATGCATCCTTTCCGATGGCCGTCAGGAAATTATCCGTTTTGCGTTCTCCATCGAGTCCCTTCCTCGTAATACACCAAATCTCGAGTCGTTGAAGATAGTCTTCGACTTCGCGCGCACTAGCATGTATATTCTAGTTCTCCAAACTACAGGACTCCATTGGTTCAAAATGACCGCTACGCCAGTTGTTGTGGTTCGTACCCGGACTAGTGTTACGAATACCTATCGGATTCCGCGCACTAACAGTCCGACCCAGAACTAGGACTCGAAACAAAATCAGAAGACAGAACTCAGAGGCGGAATGGAATTGTAATAAGCGGAAATTCGGAATATACAAGGATGTCATGTTCAATAAAACAAAAGAGTTCATAGTTCATGAGCAATCACCGCACCAAGTTACCAAGGAATTTCAGTCCTCTGCCTCGAGTGAGTTAAAACTGGAACAGGAGCTCAAACTGGCTCAACTGTGCGGAGGTAGAAACCTCCAGATATATCACCGAAGCTAAAATGAACCTCACGAACCAGTATACTGGAGGAGGAGGAAGAGCTGTCAGTCATTTCAGGTCACAACTCCCGACCACGTTCTCCACATCATAGTTAGAAGCGGAAACTGGTCAGGGAATATGTAGAGTCGCTACCAGCGTCAAGCCACGACCCTGCCGAGCCCGTACCTTTCAAAGAACCCGGAATTCGTGGTTTGCCCCAGAAATCCGCCGACATAGGCGGAACCGCACAGCTTCTGCAGGCTTGTATGAGCCTTCGTGTCCAACGACTGAGCAGGTTTGACGGAAACCCAATAAACTACTTCGGATTCATTTGAAGCTTTCAGAACTCGGTTGCCCGATACATATCTGACCCTGCTTGCCTCTTGGACCACCTCATTTAGGCTTGTGAAGGCGAAGCAGCCGAGGTATCCAAAGATGTGCGGTCCTGGAGCCTCAGGACGGTTGCAAAGAAGCACTGCTTGTTCTGGAACGGCGTTTCGGTGATTGCGAGGCTGTACATTGACGAATTAATAGATAGACCTCCTGTGAAAGCCTACGACCCCAAAGCTCTGATCAAATTGGCTGTGTTCTGCTATTCTGCAAAGAATCCTTTACCAGTCAGACTTAGATGTATGTTGGACCCTAAGCGCAGTGGTACAACGCCTGCCGCATCACCTTCAGGTCAAATGGTTTGGAAGGGCATCTCAGTTCCTCAAAACCATGCGCGAACCAACTTCCAACTAGGTGATGTGTTTCGTTTTTGATGAAGCAGATGCCGCCATAACTAGACTAATCTACACAAGCTGACAGACTCACCACACGACTGAAAAATTGGAAGCCAGAAAGCCAAACACCAACGTCGGACAGGTTTCAATAATGGCAATCCAAACCAACGCAGAAAAGAACGATAACCAAGGATAGCACACCAATGCTCGCCCAAATTTTAATGAAGTCCACTATGTCGACCAGTGCCATGGGTTCCGAGGCCATACCGTAAGGGAAAAGTATTCCACTGTGAAGGAACATCATTTATGCTTTTTATATTTAAAACCCAACCATAGGGCGCAAGACTGCCGGTCACGAAAGGATTGTGGCTTAAACGGGTGTCACGGCCGCCACTGTAGGCGCTAGCTTATTGATACCCCGAGCTACGTGTAGGTTGCAAACGTACGTTCGTACGAGAACAGAACAGTGATATCACTCAGAAGCTAACCATACCTACAGGACTTTATATAAACATATTTTTCGAACACAAATCTTACAGCGTATACACAAAAACTTTCAAAAGCTCCATCTATTCACGCTTTGTCCCTGTTCCCCTCCACACGATCAACGTTCAAAAAAATTTACCATGTTCG